AGTGTGAACAACCCCAGCTTGAAGCCTGTAATTTTATTCAGATAAACAAATGGAGTTTTTGACCACTGTTTTATGGCACAGGAAGGACATAGTGAATTGATTTTTTTTTTTTTTTTTTGGAATGGGAAGTAAAGGATAAACAAAAATCCTCCTTATCTGCAACATAATGAATTAATAGTGATAAATATTAAGTCTCATACATTGGCTTTAAATATCTGTGAAAACTTTCAACAAGTGCAACTCTAGAACAAAATTCTTTCAGGACCTCTTTGACCCATGTTGGTTTTTAATTCAACCATTCAGAGTATATAAAAAACGATCCACCATTAGCTTGACCTCCTAAAAATGTTGCCTTTAAATGCAGTTCAAAGTGGAGGACTTGGTTGTCATTAGTTCTTGTAAAGGGTACAATGTGCACATTCAATTGGTACGATATCATTCCCTGACGTGAGACAGTGCAGGGAATAATACCTAATGGCTTCTGGTGCATGTAAAGAGGTATCAGATTGAGAGATTGGGATTACTGTTGAGTGTAGGAGCCTTTTAAACTCAGCTGTCAAAGCTGAGTTGAGCAGCAGTAAGCTGTGAAGAATGTAGATGAGTGTTTGGTCATGCATTCCATGTTTTTTTTTAGTTATCGAAGCTGCTACATCAGCTAAAAGCAGCAGACAAAACAAAGCTTTATCTTAACTACAACAAACTGGAATAGTTTTGTTTCCTGATGGAATAAACGTTTGTCACTCTGTGGCAACTTCTCCGTTGGTATGATTTGTTTGTCCATCTTGACGTTGTGTAATTTGGCTCTCTGGTAGGCTCTTTTTGGCTGGGGCTCTTCTTGTTGATGGTGTGGACTTGGTGCTAAACTTCAAATCATTCAGACAAAATATTGTCTTTATGCAAGATTTAGAAAAGTCCAGTTAAATACAAAATCTTAGCATGTTCAGGGTCCAATAAAAACTCTTTACTTTAGTGATTATACAGTAGTTATGAGGCTTGTAAATTTTAAAATAGTTTTAGATATTTTCTGTAGTTCTTGTTAAAATACAGCCAGTCAGTAACTCGAATGCTCTAGTGGTCATAATCAGACTTTTTTTTATTTTTTATGGCACTTATAGTCTAAAATTTGCTTTAAGACGTCAGGGTATACCAACAAAGTCCATGCTCAATAATCCAGGTATACAATCCAACATTTTTCAGTCAGGTCATCTGGACTGTTTCTTTTTTTTTTTTTTTTTTTTTTAAACGTTTTGCCTTCGGTCCGGAAGGCTTCATCAAACTGACTTGTCAGTTTGACAAGACTGGCCTGCAATGGAGGAGGGGGCATACCAAAGAGACCATCTTATCAGAAGCAGAACTGGTTTGTTCCACTTTGAAGTAAGCTGTTGGGAAGAATCAGTCTTGTTGTGTGTTTCCTTGACTGATGAAGCCTTCCGGACCGAAGGTGAAACGTTTCAGCACAAAAAAAAGAAACTGTCCAGATGACCTGACTGAAAAATGTTGGACGTCAGTGTAAACTTATTTTCTGATTTCTGTTTTTAATGGAGTATGCCGTTTGTGGGAATCAGTTTGTTTGTTTGGTGGCTCCTCAGACTGAAGATGTCCTTTGGATGAAGGACGAAACGTCACAGCAAAAAAAGATACAGTCCAGATGACCTGACTGAACATTGTTGGATTTTTACCTGGATTGTTGAGCATGAACTTTGGGGTTTCTGATTTAATATTTCTCTTTTACAAGTTTACAGTTTTAAGCAATAATTCAAATTGCTGCCCTGCCCACAGATGGTTACAGTATTCACAAATTGATAATGAGAATAAGAAGGAATGGTTTTTTTTTTTTAGTGTACAGTAGTCCCTCGCTACTTCACGGTTCGTTTTTCGCGGACGCGCTCTTTTGCGGTTTTTCAAAGTAAGATTGGACATGACAAACAACTGGCTGATTGATGGATGAGCCACATGATCAGCATTGAATTTTTTATTTAAAATAAATTATTTAAACGTGTTTAGCACCTGCTGCACCTGTGTGCAGCCTACATGTGCTGGGAGAAGCTTCCTCCTGTAGCATGTCAGGATCTCCAAGTGGGCGTGGCTAAGAGCAAGATCGCTGGCAGAGAGCTGAGATCATGACATGCTGTGCTCTTTTAAAACGTTTAGAAAATTGTTAGGGACATTGCAAGTGTGGGAAGGGTTTCAAACTCCTTAACAAATACCTGTATGAAAATACTAAAATAAACTACTAATTACTACCACAGTAAATACTAAAATAAACTACTACTTGGTATGGTATGGTATGAAGTTTATTCATTTAAAAAAAAGTACAAAACAATTCCATAACAATATATAAAAAGATACAAAAAAATTAAAAATGAAAGGCAGCAGAAAGAAGAAAAAATCTTATTATATCTGCCCCTTTTTTCAAACAATTATTTCAGACATATTAATTTTCAAGTAACAGAACAAAATGAATAACTTTCTAATTTTTCTAATTCTAATAAAAAACACACACTAAGCTACTTCATATATACTTTTTTAACAATCTAGATTTGATCTTTTTCTTAAATGTACACATTGACTTGACATTTTTTACATCATTCTCTAGACCATTCCACAATCCAACTCCTTGGATTGAGGTAGACCTTCCCTTCAGACTAGTTCTGAATTTTGGTTTGACAAATATTTCTATCCCCTTAAGATTGTAACAACTTTGTCTTTTAACAAAATTTCTTTGGATATTTAATGGTAATGTGTTATTTTGAGCCCTATACATAACTGATAAAATACTATAATCTACCAAATCATGAAACTTCAGTAACTTCAGTTGATAAAATAATGTGCTTGATGGGTGACAGTAATGCTTTCTGGAGATAATTCTTACAGCTCTTTTCTGTAAGATAAAAATAGGTTTTGTAAATGTTTTACACGCTTTCCCCCAAACATCAATGCAATAGATTAAATGTGGAACAATGATTGTGTTATACAACATGTACAGAGCTCTATCATTTAATAATTCCCTGACTTTGTATAGTACTGCAATAGATTTAGATATTTTTGTTCTTACAGAATTTATGTGATTTTTCCATGTGAGCTGTTCATCAATGATTACACCCAAAAATTTCATCTCATTAACTCTACAAATCTCAACACCCTCAATTTTAAATGGATCGTCAACAGTTTTCTTTTTGTTACTAAATATCATGTATTTAGTTTTATCTAAATTTAATGATAATTTATTAATTTTAAACCAAGTTTGTATTTTATCAAATTCTGTCTTCATCAGTTCCAACATCCGTTTTACATCTTTACCCAAACAAAAAAATGTGGTGTCATCTGCAAAAAGGACACATTTGAGGAGTCCTGATACATTCACTAAGTCATTCACATATAAAATAAATAACTTTGGTCCAAGTACAGAGCCTTGAGGAACTCCACAAGTGATATTGCACAAGTCAGATCTTACACCATTTATTTGTACAAACTGTTTCCTATCTTTTAAATAGCTAGATACCCAGTGTAATGCTGGTCCTCTTATACCATATTTATTTAATTTTTCAAGGAGAATAGTGTGGTCAATAGTATCAAATGCTTTTTTTAAATCAACAAAAATACTAACACAATACTGTTTTTGATCGACAGCAGTAGTTATTTGTTCTATTATTTCCATGAGAGCCATTGATGTAGAGTTTTTTGCTCTAAACCCATACTGACTGTTACTTAGAATGTTTTGTTTAGTAATAAATTTATCTAATCTGGTCACAAACAGTTTTTCTAGAATTTTTGAGAATTGTGGTAATAAGGATATTGGTCTATAATTATTGAACACACATTTATCACCATTTTTAAAGAGAGGAACTACCTTAGCTACTTTCATATTGTCTGGAAATATTCCTTTTGAAAATGATAAATTACAAATATATGTAAACGGCTCGATAACATAACTCATTATGTCCTTTACAAACATCATATCCATGTCCACCCAGTCTTTTGATCTCTTATCTGTAAGATTCTTTACAACATTCATTATTTCTTCTTTGTCAGTTCCATTAAGAAAAATACTGTTGTCACAACTTATAACTGAATGGTTCACATTATTGTCTACTTTTGGTATTTTAGCAGCAAGGCTTGATCCAACGTTCACAAAATGACGATTGAATCCATTTACAATTTCATTTTCATCATGGATTTCATTGTCATCCTTCAAAAAATATTGTGAAATACCTGTTTTTGCTTTATGACTTTTCAGAACACTATTTATTACTTGCCATGTTGCTTTCATATCACCATTGCTTTTATTTAATAAATCACTATAATATTCCTTCTTGTGTTTCCTTATAATCGCTACTAATTTATTTTTATACTTCTTATATTTCTTATATTTTTATATTATAAAAATATATTATATTATATTCTTATATTTCTTATATTTATTATATACTTACTACTCTACTACTACTACTTGTGTGCATAATTTTGTTCCATCTCATGTAACACATGAGATGGTAATGACAATAAAGTTTACTTGAACTTAGACTACTGTATCTGTATTTGGCAGTTTTTCACTTATCACGGTGGCATGGTCCCAAACCCCCGTGATAAACAAGGGACGACTGTATATGGTTTTACAACAGTTTATACTTCTAAAGATGGGAGGAAAACTAATGCATTCTCAATATAACATGGCTTGCTCTAAAGATCTTCTTTATAGAGCTGAGACTAGATGTTTTGTTTGGGGGTTTTCTTCCTCAGTTTGGTTTCTAGTAAAAAAGCTCCACTCTGTTCATCACAACCTTCCTGAACGTGTTTAAGGATGAGCACACCACTTTAAAAACTTTGTATCAGTGAAGAACATCTTGAGTTCCTTTTTCAGCAGGAAGAACGATAAAACTGAGTGTACTCGTGTGTTCTTGTGCTCTGGACATCAGGACATGTTTTGTACCCTCCTGTCCCTTCTTGTTCTGTCCCATTATGTGATAAGAATCTGTTGTCTGTGCTTCTGCTGCTTTCAGATGCCAAGGAGAGATCGGCCAAGAGATTCTCTGTGGACGGCGTCTTCAATTACACGTCTCTGCTGCTCAGCCAGGAGGACGACATGCTGTACGTCGGAGCCAGGGAGGCGCTGTTTGCTCTCAGCCTCTCGGACATCAGCAAGACCAAGCTGCGAAGGAATGTCAGTACGACGAGATGCTCGAACTCTTATTCAGGGTGTTAGCTTGAGTAGAAACAAGGTTGACCTGTGTTTCACGTGACTTAATTTTTGATTCTCCCATCTCGTCTCGCTAGCTGACATGGGGCACTCCTGCTGGAAAAAGAGAAGAGTGCAGCTTTAAAGGGAAAAATCTGGAGGTGAGAGCTTCAGAAAACCATTTCACTAACCCAAAAAAGAACAAAGTGCTGTCCCCCAACACCCCCTGCACACAGTACAACCTCTTGTTTAACCTGTGAGACGATAAAACGAGTCGAAGGCTTCTTGCTGACAACCTTTCCACCGGTTACAAATGGATTCATCAAGTCTGCAGGCTCTCTGGGGGTTTCTTCTTCAGTCTGTCTTACCTTGTTGTCATGCCAGCTGTTGTCTCCCTGGGCGACAGGCCTCGGTAATCTGTGCGCTACACTGTAAAACTGTGGTCGGTGTGTCAGAGACCAGGCTCTCCGGGCTACTGCTGAGAAATCCTGCGAGGTTTTCCCAACACCCGTTTGCGCACAAAAACCAAAAGAACTCCTCTAACATTTGCATGGCAGACACTCAAAGGTTTCTGTCTGATTATGAGCTTTTTAAGACTAAGTTTGAAGGAAATTTGAAAAAAAAAAGACATCTTTGAATATTTGTTTCTCTCCAGACTGACTGCTTCAATTACATCAAAATCCTCCTGCGGCTGAATAGCACTCACCTCTATGTGTGTGGGACATACGCCTTCAGTCCTGTCTGCGCCTACATAGTAAGTAATGACCACTCTTATCGATGCATGATTCACTTGTTCTTTTTAAAAACAGACTGGGCTCTTTAATCCTGTGCGTCTGTACTGGGTCTGTTGGTGTCATAGCAAAGTGCATTTGGAGCTTGTTCTTGTAACGTCAGCAGAGATGGCATTATTTTTACTGATGGAGGGGCCGTGGAGCTCGAGGACCGCTCGGCTTTTTAAACCAGGGAAAACAAACTCTCTACTGTTTGACGTCAGAGTTGAAGGAAAACATGGGATGTCTGCTGTTTAAGACAACTTGGCAGGACGTTGGGTCCTGAACTAGGATTCCAAACAAGTCTGAGCCCTGGTCTACATAAGGATGCGTGTTATTAACGTTGATTGATGTTTTGTTTTTAAAGGGCTTCTAAAAACAGACGCAGAGGGTTTTACGAGCAGCGTAACAGAACACCGAGGCCCAGAAGATCCTCCGAACAATTAAAATGACGGACGTGCGTTAAAACAAGCTCTGAGTAAAACGTCTGATGAAGAAACGAGAGAACTTTCTCCGAGGCAATGAGACCACTTCAAATTATCAGATTACTGACCACAGGAAACAAGTTATCACCATTTTTCTGTTCCAGCACGATCATTTGATGAAGTCACGGTCAAATAAGAAAGTAGACGCATCACATAAATCACCCATCATTCATAGCAGCAGATGATTGTGTAAATGACTTTGTGAGAGTTTGTCTTTTAGCAAAACGTTGTTAAAACTGTCAGTTTTACAGATTTTGAGCTAAAACCTTGTGATAGTAGCTGAGAGTTGTACTCGAAGTACTAACAGATTGGAAGAAGTCTTTGTTTAAACTTTGACATGCTAGGCAGCAGATATTTGCTCCCATGTTTTCATGAATTTGCTGGTGTGCAACTGAGTTTTTTTTTTTGCGTGACCCAACTTGTGCCAACCTTCACAATGCTTTCATTATCTTTTTCATTTTCTTGATACATTTTACATTAACAGCCTTTTTAAACGGGCTGTACTTGTTCAGTCTCTTTGTACCTGTTCTGTCATGAACATTTTGCATTTTGGCTCAGTTTATTCATGGAAAAAGTCAGATATGAAACGTGTTGTGTCTCAACTAAGATTGTACATAGATCCTTTAGGCTATAGGAACAAACTGTTGTTCCCGTCAATAGAACGTGGTCACAAATCTTAAATTTATTTGATTTATTTATTTTTCATTCAATTCAGTTTATTTACTGTATATGTGTATATGTATATAGATATATACACATGTGTATGTGTATATAGCACCAAGTCACAACATTAATTATCTCAGGGGACTGTACAGAAACATTTATATACATAAAAAGTAAGTTAACAATATTTATCTGAGGAGCAGACTGCTTTAACTTCATCGCAGACTCTCATCTTGAGCAAGCATGAAGGCATCAGTGAAAAGAAAAACCTCTTTCATGAGGAAGAAACCTTTAGCAGAACCAGACTCAGGACAAGTGGCCATCTGCTTCGAACTGCTGGGTTTGAGAGGAACAGGAAGAAGGACCAGCAGGTCGAGAATCACGTTAAAGAAATAATATCAAATGAAAACTTTTCAATTTTAACAATTCAGTTTGTCCTCCACTATTTTAAGCCTATGGCAGCATAACAAGCAAACCCTAACAATAGGATTTATCAAAAAGGAAAGTCTTAATCCCAGTCTTAAAACTGGACAATGTGTCAGCCTCATGGACAGAAACTGGAAGTTGGTTCCACAAGAGAGGAGCCTGAGAACTGAAAGATCTTCCTCCCATTCTGCTTTTGGAAACTCTAGGAAACACAAGTAAGCCTTCAGTCTGAGAGTGAAGTGCTCTGTTGGGACAATATGGAACAATAAGATCTGTAATATAAGATGGAGCTAGGTTTTTGAGGGCTTTGTAGGGGGAGCCAATGCAGAGAAGCTAAAACAAGATATATGATCTCTCCTACAAATCCAGTTAAGACTCTGGCAGCAGCATTTTGGATTAAATGAACTCATGAGACAATTAAAAAAAATTATCTTAAAAAAAAAAAAAAATTTAATAGGGATATTTTTTGTTACCAATTAATAACCAACAAGCATAAATATCAAACATTGTTTTTTTCTACATTGTCCCCCTTTTGTGTTTTTTATGTGATTTGCCTTCATTCCTTCGCCAACCCTTTTAAAAACAATATCATAAGTTGGATAAATAAAACATTTTATAGAAAATGAAGGAAAAAAAATGTACTCTATCATGTAAGTGATTAAAAAAAACTGTCCATGTAGATAACACTTTTGAGTTCAGCTGCTTCATTTTATGACAAGTTGTTAAAATGCGGTCAGATAACATTTTTTATAAGCAATTAAAGCTGCTCACTGTAGTTTTTATTACATGTTACAGTAATATAATTCTTTGATGTATCTTAAGTTAAAGATGAACAGATCGGTGAGCATTTATGGCAGCAAAGCCAAACATGAGGGAAGTGATGTGGCTTCTCTGTGATGTTGTAGCTCAGTGGCTTTTGTTCTGAACAATAGTTTGAGAGCAGTGAAGTGTCATCTTTAATTTAAATGCACAACGGCCTGCCCAAAATGACCAAATGTCCCAAACTGTCTTGTAATGGAGCGAACGAGCTCACTCTTTGACTTAAAGTAGAACCTCAGCTGAGACGTTTTGTCGTTTGTCTCCAGAACACGTCAACGTTTTCCCTGGAAAGAGACGAAGCGGGCGAGATTGTGATGGAGGACGGGCGCAGCCGCTGCCCTTTTAACCCAGAGTACAAGTCCACTGCCATCATTGTGGGTGTGTAGAAATTCAAAACAAAACAAGCCTACTGCTTTGTGTGTGGGAAGGGGTTCAATCTTCAATAGATCACTGTTTTCTGAAAGTTCTCTTCAAATTATGTTTTGTTTTTGTTCACTTTTCTCTAGATGGAGAGTTGTACACAGGTACTGTCATTAACTTCCAAGGGAACGAGCCAGTGATTTATAAAAGTCTGGGTCAGGGGACTGCTCTGAAAACTGAAAACTCCTTAAAATGGCTACAAGGTACACACTGTTTTTACATATCTTCCATTATGTAACAACCACAGCAGATAAGCTCTGAAAAGTGTCTGTCATTAGTACGGAGCGTTCACTGATACATGCAGACTGAGAGCAGAGACGAGTCCTCGTAGATTGCAGGAACTCTGTTCTATCGGTGGCCGCACACACACGTTAAAAGCGCCGCGCTCTCGCCAGAGTAAGCTGCACAATTAGGACCGCTCTTGTCTTCTGATCTCCTGGTAATTCATGCAGAGTGGTCCTGATGAGGCATCTGAGTGCAATTACACAGAGAATCCTGTTTCCTTCGCTTTCTCGGGGTTGTGTAACACGGCTATCTGACTCCGCTCCAAGTTTGCAATGCAAGAAAAAAAATCCTGTTAGTCTTTAACTACAACCCCTTAAACAGTCTTGCTGAAATATTCAAGGCTTCCCTGAAGAAAACCTCATCTGGATGGACTTGTCGTTTTAAAACCTGCATATATATTTTTCCATCTATGTTGCCTTTCCAGATGTGTAAGCTGCCCGTGCTATAAGCTCTAATGCACCTCCATACCATCAGAGAGGCCAGCTTTTGAATTTTGCATTGGCTGATGGTCCCCCTCCTCTTTAAGGACGTGACAATCGTGGTTCCTAAAAAGAGTTTCAAACATTGATTTTTCTGACCAAAGAACAGTTTTCCACTTTTAAGAGTTTTGGCCCAGAGAAGACGACTACGATACTGGATGGCGTTCACATGGTTCCTTCTTTGCATGAAAGAACTTGAACCAATATTTGTGGCTGGTTCAGTGAACCGTGCATATAGCCAGTAAATCGTGGAAGTGCTCCTGAGCCCATGCAGTTATGTCCAGGACCGAATCAGACCTGTTGCTAATGCAGCGCCACTTAAGGGCCGCTCAGAGATTTTGTTTCGATGATATAAATAAATGTAATGATGGATATACAAAGTCTTTCCAGTAAAGTTCAGTTGGGTCGTCTGGACGATTTCTTTTTTGTTGAGACATTTCGTCTTTCATCCAAAGGACTTCCATCAGTTCGAGGAGTCACAACAAACTCAGTCCCACAAGCAGCATACGGTTTCAGTTTTATTCACTTTATTCACACACACACACAAAATAATCATAGTACATACATAATAATACATAATAACACTCACGTAGTGGACCAACAAGTTTGCTGCAGATAAGATGATTTCTGGGGCCCGCCCTCTCCCCAGTCAACTCCTCTGAGGCAGCCATAGCCAAAGTGGTTCAAAACATCAAAGTTCATGCTCAATAATCCAGGTCAAAAATCCAACAAAGTTCAGTCAGGTCATCTGGATGGTTTCTTTTTTTTTTTGTTGACATTTTGTCCTTCATGCAAAGGACTTCTTTGATCTTTTGACTGAGTTTGTTGTGGCTCCTCAGACTGATGAAGTCCTTTGGATGAAGGACGAAATGTCTCAACAAAAAAAGAAACAGTCCAGAGAACCTGACTGAACTTTGTTGGATTACTGAGCATGAACATTGATACAAAGTCTTTCCATTTTTGTTGTTGTTGTTGAAGAACATTATTCTAAAACTGCTCAACTCTTTTCTGACTGTTTTTTTGCAGACTGGCGAAGCTCTGCTCATCTTTACTTCAGAGCGTTTCATCTCCAAACTGCCCTTTTTATACCCACTCTGCTCACCGACCTGTTGTTAATAACCCTAACTTGTTGCAAAATGCTCTTCCAGCTGTTTGTTTTCCAACCACTTACTTTTACTGCCTTTTGTTCTGCCCAAACTTTTTTCACGTGTTGCTGCTGTAACATTAAAAAATAATTTCCCTTTTCTGCATCTGATGCAGAAAAGGCAACGTGATGTTTACTCTAGTCCACTGTGTATGAAATATGGCTCCATGAGATTAATAAATTGTTGTTTTTTGTTTTTATTTTCATTTTACACAGCGTCTCAACTTACTTTTTAAACTGGAGTTGTACATTTTCTCGTTCTCTGATCTCTTCTCTGTTTCGGACAGATCCCGTCTTCGTTGGGTCGGCGTACATTGAGGAGAGTCAGCCAATAGGAAATCCCGAGGGCGACGACGACAAGATTTACTTCTTCTTTAGCGAGGCGGGGAAAGAGATCGACTTTTTTGACAACACCATTGTGTCGAGGATTGCTCGTGTTTGTAAGGTAAGACGGGTGAAGGTGAAGGTGAGGTGCAGCAGGGCTCACGTTGTCACAAATCCTCAAAACAAAAGGAAACGCTCCACATCAGAGCGCATTTCAACATCTAAACCATGTCATGCCTGTGTGGACGCAAGGGGAAAATGCGCCTGGTTGTTTTTAAGCTTTTTCTGTTTGTCTATACAAACATATTTTCAGCAGATTTGGTTTTCTGAACCGCCTCCTCCTTTCCCTGCAATGTCATCTTCCCCTCTCCTTCCATCTCCCTCACAATGTCAGCTGCACTCGTCCGTCCCACCAGCTCCTCGCCTTTCTCCCATAGCCCTTTGAGCTTTGCAGGCGTTATTAGTATTCAAGGGTGCTTCGCAGCAAAATGAAATGCTTTTCCCCCTCCGCTTTACAGCCTTTTTTTTTTTAACTGCAGGCAAAGCATGCAAACTGCAGATGTCACTGACCGTTTAAACCATCAAAGCCGCTCCTCCTCCCATGATCCTTTAAGAGTTTGGTTTATCGTAAGCCTTTTTTTTCCACCTGCCATCGGGCCAATTAAAAGGCTCCGACGCTGCATGATAAACACATGCACTCAGCATCCCTTCCTGACTGATGCTTCTTGTTCAGGGAGGCAGTAATGTGAGTAATCGTGGGGACAGCATGTAATCTGGAGTGACAGCTTAATGACTTGGTCCTGCGAGGCTCTGCCGCCCGGCGCTGCGACACCTCACAACACCGGGCGACAGAGCACCTCCTGGGTTCTATATATGGAAATCATTGACAGAGGTCCCACTCGCTGCAGCTGAACTGTGCGACAGCGGGAGAAGAATGGCTTTCTCTGCTCTGTAAAGCATTTTTTTTCCACTGGAATGCAGCAGCTCTGACTGACATCTATTCAGATGCTGTTTTACAGCACTGCAGTAGTGCTCCATATTTTTTTAATCCGTTTTTTAGGCAAATACTTACTATAATTAAAGGCCTAGAATCCCTTGAATACATATTGCCCACCACATTTCAGGCCATAGTTTCAAACTAAACTCGACAGAGTTGTGGCTGTTTCGTTCAGTTTGTGAAAATGGCATTTAGAGGATTCTTTTGTGACATTGGGCTCGGGGAATGCATTGTGAATGACTCCCAGCTACTACCACATCACATTTAAGCTCACTATCTGAAAAAATATCTCAAATAGTTAATATTATTTTTTTTCTAGGGATGCACAATATTATTGGCATGGTATTGGTATCGGCCGATATTAGCGTTAAAGTTAAATATCGGACATCGGCCAGTCCATCAAAATAACTCGCAGATATTAAAGGCACTGTTTTTATATTACAACCCAGTCACAAGGATGCCTGCAGCGCCAGCACAACATGATGTCATGCGCGCCTACCTGATCTGATTACGGCGTAGAAGAAGAAATCAAAATGCACTATGCACTACTACTTATGCGCATTTCACTTGTCACTTGTGAACAGGTTGAGTTAAGTTTTGTGAAAATTTACAAATTTGCACTGTTCGAGTGTTGTCATTGTGTTAGAGAGGGTAAATGTTATGAATAAATTGGACATTAAACATAATCCAGGTTTAAGTATTACATCATTTTCAGCCCTCTTTTTGACATCCGTTTATCGCATCAATATTGGTATCGGTTATCGACCAAATAAGTTTAAACCTATTGGCATATCAGATATCGGCCAAAAATCCAATATTGTGCATCCCTAATTTTTTCTTTTGGCAATTAGCTGTGGGAGCCATCTTGAATTAGGTGGACTAAAGCTTAATACTTTGCAAGACACGGATTATGAATCTGCATAAACCACCCCTCTTATTCGGATTACAAATTCATTCAGATCGAATCTGAATCAAGCTCAGAATAAACCAAATGGGGCGTTTACATTATGCATTTTTGTTCCGAATGGCCGTTTAATCCGATTACCGGCACTTGTATCCATGTAAACTTGGATAATGTTGCAGTTGCATGGCAAAAATGGCAACATTTTACCTTGCAGGCTTGCAAGAACTCTTTGTGCACATAGCTCCTTTTATCTCGCAGGGGTATGCAGTAATTATTGTGTGACTGGTCAAAACTTTGTAGGCATGTTTATGCAGCAACATAGATTGAGTATACTGGTGTCAATTCACTTCATCTGCTCTGCTGAGGAAGTGTATCGAGATATTTTGCTAAAACAAAAACAAAAAAACGCAAAATGCTAGCGTTTGCCTTTGCCTTTTGGCAACGTAAAATAACTAAAGGTGTGGATAAAATGTGCTGCAAGGTGTATCAGTGGAACATGGAGATTTTTAATATTTGCAGCTAACAGTGACGATTATTGGTGAAATTTGTGTCCAACACTCAGAAACCACCCAAAGATCAGCTGCTCCTTCTCTCACCTCCTGTGGTATTCTTGCAGAGCGTTCTGAACTGAGAGCAGGGTTACGTAAACCTGAGGTATGAAGGCCTCCGTGCTGCTGGCAGGCTCCGTATCTCACACTCTTCTGCAAACTGACAGAAATCACGCACTCCCACCACTCTGTGTGCATCAGGCAAAGTCCTGCAGCGCTGGAATGTGTTTATATCTGAAACATGTCGAGTGCGTGCGCTCGTCTCCGAAAGAAGACGTGCTTCTTGTCTGATAAGATAAATAAAGTGATGGTTTTCATTTTTTATGGTGTTTTGACTTCTGTTTTACTTGAGGATCGCAGCGTTATTCAGCTTCCAAGTTGTTTTTTCCCCTCCCTCCTTTCCTATCAGTCCCCCTCCTGCTTCCACTCCTTCGTCCTTGTGTTTATTCAGGTGCGTTCACTGAAGGGAAAGTAGGCAGATTAAGAAAACTGCAGCAGTGTTTCCTTACCTCGCCTTCATTTACACTAGGGGCAGAAAAAATATAAGCTAAAGAATTTAGCATTTTCATAAGAAGTGCAGTGAGGGCCGAATGATCTGCTGAAATGTGTTATAGAAGCTGAAACTGATTTAAAGGTCAACAGTTGGAAGAAAAGCTGAAATTAGGTTAACAAAAGCAAAAATCAACAAGACTAGCTGAAAAGCTAAAACTATTAAAGTAGTCCCTCGCTACTTCACGCTTCGTTTATTACAGACTCGCTCTATCACGGTTTTTCAAAATAAGATTGGACATGACACACAATTGGCTGATTGATGGATGAGCCACACGATTGCAATGACATTTTTATTTAAAATAAATTATTTTAAATTATTTAGCACCTCCTACACCTTTGTGCAGTCCACACTTCAGGATAAACTTCCTGCTACAGCTGACCAGCTGTTCGCTGTGCAGAGCGGAAGCTTGCAAGTGGCAAAGAGCAGAGGAGGTAGAGCGATGAAATCATGACATTCTGTGCTCTTTTAGAGCGTTTAGAGTTTAGAAGCATTGTTTATAATATTGCAAAAGTGTGGGAAGGGTTTAAAACACCTTAAAAAAATAATAATAATAGAATATATATTATAATGTGCTCACACGCACACACAACTTCACGGTTTTTCACTTCTTGCGGGGCTTCAGGGTACAGATCCCCTGCGATAAATGAGGGACTACTGTAAAGCCATAACTAAAAGCTCAAATGAGCAAAAGAGTTGCCAAATATGAAACCAGCAAAACACTAGCGAAATGTTAAGGTCAGCAAAACGGCTAAAAGGTAAAATTTGCAAAACTGTAACTAAAACCTACTAAAGTTACAAACATTAAAGCAGTAGTTCTCAAACTGGGGTCCCTGGACCCCAGGAGTCCAAGAGACGATGCATGGGGGTCTGCCAAAAATATATAAATTTAAAGTTTTTTAAATTAATTTAATTGATTAATTTTATTTTTACAAGTGCATAGATGTTTAACAACCTGTTAAAATACACTAAAATGCAGGAAATCACTTATACTTTATTCAAAATTTTCTGGGGAAGGACTCCCAGAGTGGTTTACAGATGAAGCCTGTTACTTGGTGTGAGTATTGCTGTTATGATTCTGTTCAGTTTAATGAAGTGTTTTCTGTAATAATTTGAAGAAGTGATGTTACATTTATTATGTTCATTATGTGAATAGGTAAAGTTTTAAATTGTTTTTTCCATAATGTTAATGTTCTCAAAACTGTAATTTTTGGAAGTTGAAATTAAAAATTTTTAGTGTCTCGAATGAAAAATACCCCATGCTCAAGTATAAAAATTGTATTAACACTATTAAAGAACAGGTGTTAAGTATTTGTTACACAAATATTTCCATTGCATTAAAGAGACAAATTAAAGAAAATTATTTAATAAACATCATCCCTGAACCCAGAAAGTTTGAGCACCCCTGCACTGAACGTCCCGAAAGAGTTGAATGTTTTGACACCTGAATGGCTGAAGTAGTTGAAAGCGTGCTGAAGGAGTTAGTCCAGAAAAAAACATATGGAAGAAACAGCAAAACATTTTAACACAATAAATCATTTTTGAGTGTTTAAACCAGCAGCAGCTACATACAAAGATGCAAAGAATTGTTTTGTTTCTTGAAGAATCAGATGGGAGTTGTTGAAACGCCGGAAAAGCTCGGCTGCAGTGGACAGCTGGGAGAGCAGGACTGTGGTCGTCTCATTAGGTGGACCGGTCTCCCTCTCCTGCGTCAGTCCCACGGCTCACTGCGGAGCAGCAGGACTGTGTGCGTGTGACGGCACACAGGAGGGGAGGCAGTGATGGCTTAGCACTTTATTATCTCCTCAAAGGTGACTCGCTCTTCTTGCTGCTGAGGAGGAGTTCTGGGTTTTAGATACTCATGAGATAGTCTGGAGGCAGAAAACGTTATCAAGATCGGCTGTGACTCCTTGTTTTGCTCTTCCTCCTCTTCCTCCTGTGTTTTCACACTTGCTGGCTACACTTTGAGGGGAGTGTCATTACAATTTTCAGATCAATCCAAGTCCTGAAAACTGTTGAGGAGAATGTTTTGTGTCAACATTAAAGGACTATTAATCAGTTTCAGATGTATAAGTAAAAACTCGTTTTCCTATTTCAAATGTTCTGTCTTTAATTATGGTTATTAGTTCGTCTTATTTCATCCACAAATGGTCACAGTAACAAATGTTTTCTTATTTGACCCGAACGGCACCCTCTAAAGTAGAAGCTGTTTGGAAACCCTGTAGGAATTGATTTGCAGCTTTATCACAGCAGCCATATATGTCCCATAATAATGTTTAAGAGGATAAAGTTCTTTGTTTATTTTTTGAATCATTGAATTAATGAGCATCGTCACAGAATCAGTTTCTGATTTTACTTCCAGTCGTGTCTCTGATCATATTTTTCAGTCAGAGTCAGAGATTCTTTATTGTCATTCGCACCACATGTGGTATGTGTGGTGGAACGCAATTATGTACACAGGGTCCCAGTTACATCCAACAATAAAATGTAAATAAAAACAATAACATCTAAGATATGAACTAAGAAAAACATCGACTAAAAATGCACTAAGCACTAATAGCATAAAAACATTATGTCCAACAGCAGCACGAACATGAGTGTGTGAGCAGATGAGCACGAATGAACACATCAACATTAAACTGATCAGCAGCAACATGAAACAGATCAGCATTTTTATCTAAAGACTGACTGTGAAGTAGAGATTTTTCATTTCCAATTTAAGCTTTATACATACTCAATTAGCAAATAATCTCTTGGACCACTGGACAGATTGTAAATGGTAAATGGACTGTACTTATATAGCACCTTTCTATCTAATCGAGATACTCGAAGCTCTTTACACTACAATCTGTGTTCTCATTTACCCATTCATACAGCACTCTACTAGATCTATACAGAGAATAATCGGTGCTTTATCACATTCATACAAAGATGGGACACGCATCGGAGGCAATGAGGGGTTCAGTGTTTTGCCCAGGGACACTTCAGCATGTGATTGCTGGTGGAGTTGAACCCTCAACTTTCCCATTGGAGGATGACTGCTCTAACCACTCAGCCACAGCCGCCCCAATTGTGTTGAAGCGGTGACTTTTATCACTGGATTTACAACTAATAAACTTGTGGAGTCAGCTTGATTTGAGACGACTTCAGCAGACACAGAAATGGTCATAACATGGTCAGTTTTATATTTAGACATTTGGAGGTTCTACATCTTAAAGGGCTTGAGTTGCTAAAATATCTGCATCTTAAGCTCATTTTCCACCACAGCTGCAACGTCTCCTGCTACTCACAGGTTTTGGTCGTATCAGAGTTAAACTCCCAGCTCCTGCTCGCATGAGCCTCGCTGCTCCTGACCTCCGTCCTCTCGCTCATCCCCGAGTCCTGTCTAGTCTGTCAGAGCGAGCAGAGATTATGTGCTCCTCCACCTCAGCTCACACAGAAATTAATAATGCAACAGGAAATCTTCTGTGATAATCTGTGAAACCCTGGGTTCTGCGTACAGGGTGACCGGGGAGGTGAGCGAGTGCTGCAGAAGAAGTGGACGACCTTCCTGAAGGCTCAGCTGCTGTGTTCCCTCCCCGACGACGGCTTCCCCTTCAACATCATCCAGGACATGTTTGTCCTGAAGCCCACGGGGGACAGCTGGGAAAGCACCGTTTTCTACGGCGTCTTCACTTCCCAGTGGTGAGACACGAGTGCAGACGGCAGGTCAGACTGCTCCTCAGCTCTGTCCCGAAACATGACGCCCTATTCTCTGTCTGCAGGTATAAAGGAGCGTCGGGCAGCTCGGCGGTGTGCGCCTTCAGCATGGCGCAGGTGGAAGCAGCCTTCAGTGGCCGATACCGAGAGGTCAACAGGGAGACGCAGCAGTGGTACACCTATAACCACCCGGTACCAGAACCACGACCTGGGGCGGTGAGTCGTGGCGACAGCAACCAGTGACAAACGACACGGTTTAGCTCAGCAACACAGATGGTTTTGTTCACAGTTTGTTCCTCCTCGCTTACGTTGGTACCCGTCAAAGAAAGTGAAATGACAACGAAAATAAGGTTTCAGAAACAAATTAAATATTTGATTTATTGCACACAAAAAGGGGTAGTTCAGATATTTTTAGGTGGGATTCTATAGAAAAGTTATGAGCAAATAATGTTTTACTTGTATTCTATAACGTTTCAAACAGGTTGGAAAAATAGTTTGATTCTGACCCGATTGATGAGCCTATTAAACTCCTATTTCTCCAAACTGAGGTTGATTAAAGAGCTATCTACAACAGGTAAGATGTTAATAGTCCTTAACCTTTCTGCACAACCCCACCACAAAAGATCTGAACTATTCCTTTATCATTTGAAGGCTGTTAAGTTACAGAACTTGATCCGCAGCAATTTTTATTTTATTCTTGTCTTCTGGTCAAAGGTTGACTCTAAAAATGCTGCTTTGCTTTTGATCGTTTGTATGGACCAAACGAAACGTGTAAAAGCTCAAATAAATTCTTGGAATCTTTTGTAGTTATAGGAATAACTAAGAATGCACAGCATGAAACGTGTTTATCTGAGAGAACATAAATACTGTCAGAGTTGTTAAATGAATGGTTCAGAAGCAGGCGACGACAGAAGGACTGAGTCCAAGAAGAAGATAAAAGATCAGTCATTTATCAGGAATAGCTTTTAGGACGAGTTGTAACGTGTTCCAGGTTGTTGGAGCAAAAAAAACTAACAGCTGATCCTCCAGGATTCTTACAGACTTGAGGGACTTGCAGCAGAAATCAGCTGCTGGAGTTTAATCCAGACTGGACACCAGTGAAGCGTAGAAGATGTAAGAAGGCAGCTTTTCAATGAGGGCCTCACAGAGGAGCATGAGCCTTCAGATGGAAACCATCAGCAGACTTCTTTTTTTTTTAATCCATAGGGCTGGGCGATATGGACCAAAATTAATATCTTGATATTTTAAGATGAATGGCGATATACGATATATATCTCAATATTTTTTTCTTTCCATAAAGTAATAACAAAAAGATATTTCTGAGTCAAAGCTTTGTCCCAATTGTCACACAGACACATCTAATGAACAGCTGGAACTGTACAAAAAAGACGGGAGAAAAAGAATTACATGAATTTTCAAGTCGAATTATAACGCAACATAGAAAATATTGAAATAAACGCTATAGTCCCATCTTATCTAGTGTATGAAATTATCTCGATATTTTAAAAATATCGATATCGCCCAGTCCTAATTAGTACCATAAATATCACCTGAGCACAGAAAAACAAAGTTTTACTATATTAGGCAGAAATTTCTACATTAATTTTTTAATCTCGTGATTTCCTCTCCCACAGTGCGTGACCAACCACGCCAGGCAAATGGACATCCACTCGTCCCTGCACATGCCTGACAAAGTGCTGAACTTTGTGAAGGACCACTTCCTGATGGACGGTGTGATCCGCAGCGCTCCCCTGCTGCTGAAGCGCAGTGTGCGGTACACGCAGATCGCCGTGCACAAGATCCAGGGCATGGAGAGGGCTTACGACGTGCTCTTTATTGGAACAGGTGGTGATTTTTTTTTTTTTTTAACATAACAGAAACATCTGATGCCTCTTATTATGAATATATGCCCCACTGCAAACTGTATTCCCTGGAAGTCACTTGTCTTATTTCTTTCTCCATCTGATTCCCAGATGATGGGAAGCTGCACAAGGCCATCAATGTCAATGATAAGATGCACATCATCGAGGAGATGGTTCTGTTTGCCGAGCCTCAGCCTGTGCAGCATATCGAACTTGACTCTCAGCGGGTGAATAACAGAACAAGACCAAATTAAAACGCTTTCGTTGTAACTTAATATCGATGTGTAAAAGCCTCTGAAGTCCTCTTTAAATCTGTTTATATCAAGTATTTTAATCATTTCAAACTGGCTGCAGATATTTCCCTTCTGCAGGGTCCATTTCACTGCGTTAGCTGTAAGTTATAGCTCTGAGTTTATTATACTCTCTGGCACTTTACCCAGAGCTTAATTTTATTACTTTTTATGTTATTATTACGCAAAGATCTCTCTCCAAGTCTCAACTGCCAAACTGTAAGCAAATATGTAATTCTAATAAAGCAAGAGAGGCCTTTGTGCGAGCACAGTCTAAGCTCCAAATATGAGCAAACAAACACAGACTCCATATGTATCAGTTTAAAACAAATAAACCAGCTCAAGCCAGACTATCCACTGAATCTACGACTGTGTCATAAGTGAGGTAAATTTATGTAACTCATACATTGACATTAAACTAGTTTAAAGCTGGAAAAAAAGACTAAAAGAACAAAGTTCTTTAAAACATGCGCTGAAATTGTGAGTGTGTTCAACTGAGCGCATGATCAGAGAGTTGAAGTGAGTCACAGAGACGGAACAGCTGGTCAGAGTTAGCTCTCTGTGTACGTTATACTCCTGTTTATCTTAAGTAATGGTTTCAATGTGCCGTCCCTTTTGAAATCTTTTTTCTGTCTTTCTTCTGCAGGGTTTGTTGTTCGTCTCGTCCTACTCTGGCCTGGTGGAGGTTCCTGTGGCAAACTGTTCTAACTACCTGAGCTGTGGTGAGTGCGTGTTGTCCAGAGACCCCTACTGCGCCTGGACCGGGCGGCTGTGCCGGGACGTCAGGATGGCTCCGCCTGACAGGTGAGAAGTCCCACACGGGTTGCCGTAGTTTGAAATGGGCTGCAACAGAGGAGTGGTGCTGCACCGTGTGCACGGTGACGGCTTTGGGCACGACACGGCAGGCGTAAGGTCCACCTTGTTCACAGCTTTACGTTTTTAATTTTAATGGTTCTGCAGGTTTTTTAGCTTTTTAAACAAAAACATTTAACTAGGTTCAGTGCTAAGATTGAAGCAGCCATAGTTCATGTGTTTGAAAAAGCTGCTTTTAAAAGAAGAGTTGGTCTCTTGGTCATGAGGCTGACGCAGCAATCAGGTTTTAGAACAAGACTTTTGTACGAGGTCCCTGTCATCCCAGTACCCACCTCTCACCCTGTTGGTTTGTTTGCTTCGTTTTGTTGCAGTCACTGGCAGCAGGACGTGGAGGAGGCTGACACGGCAGCGATTTGCAACACGACAGTTTCCAGCCCCAGATCTGCCAGACCAGCAGCTGCTCGTGAGTGAGCTCTGCCTGTCTCACACACACGCACACACACACACACACACACACACACACACACACACACACTTGGAGCTGCAGAAACACATCAGCTCTAAACAACAGTCAGGTAACCAGGTTTGCACTGGTCTAGTCAACAGCTAGCATATACACTGCACATTCTGTACACAACTACTTGGACAGATGTAAATGTCTGTAAAATAGGACTTGAAGTGATAAGATCTTTTGAAGTGGGGTTTTGTGGAAGAGTTATGAATATTTAATATCATAGCTCTTTGATAAACCTCATTTTGAAGAAACAAAATAATTCCGACAAAATTGGCGACGCTTGAGCAGTCTCAAGACCAAAGTGGATTACATTTTTTTTAAGCACAAATAAGAGCAAGCAACTAAATCTAGCTGTAGCATTCAATAGTAACATATTATTGCTGGAATAAACATGTAATGTGAAACTGACAGAAATTTAATTTATAAAATGGTGCAGGAAACAGGAAGTTAGCTTAGCAATCAAGTCAGAATGTAACTGTTTCTCCAAGCTGAGCTTGTTTAAAGAGCTATCTGTAACAGGTAAGATATTAATTGTTCATAACCTTATTTAACTTCCTCCCAAAGCATATTGTAGATGGATGGGTAATGATGTGGACAGAAAAGAAGCAGAGTGTTTCATCTGCCGTCGATATTTGTTGGAGTTCCTTATTTGACTGAATTCCTGTTTGACCACGATGTGTTTTCAGGACTCTGCATATCCTTCTAGGTCTAATTATACTTTGAATAGTAGTTTAATCAAAAACAAAATTGTTTATTTCAACACATTATCACTGGCTATGTTGCTTCAGTCCACCCCCACCCCTCCAATAGCACTTGCATCCTAATAAGTGAGATATAGCCTGAATTAGAAACGAGATCTTGAGAGGCAGGAGAACTCCTTTTATGGTAGATTTTAGGATTTGGGACTGTACATCTGTTTTATGCCTAAAATGTTTTGTAAGAGTGGGAAAAAAAGACAGAACCCCCAAAGAGCATAATATGAACACAGTTTTATTCATTCCCATTTCCTTGTACGCAGAAGGTGTTGTGTGCAGTTTAAATACAGAAGTCCCTCGTTTATCGAGTGGGGTTCCGTTCTCAGTACCCCTGCGATAAGTGGAAAAACCGCGAAGTAGGAATAATGGTACCAGTACTAGTAGTATTTTAGTATTCGGGGACATGACACACAGTTGGCTGATTGAGGGATGAGCCACATGATCAGCATAATTTTTTTATTTAAAATAAATTACCTTTATATTTTAAATTATTTAGCACCTGCTGCACGTTTGTGCAGCCCAGAGCAGCAGAAAAAGCTTCCTCCTGCAGCTTTGTGCAGCCCGTACTGCTGCAGGATAAACTTCCTACTGCAGTTAAACAGCTGATCAGATGTTCAGCGTGCAGAGTGGAGAAGTGGGCGTGGCCAAGAGAGCTTGCAGGTGGCAAAGAGAAGAGGAGGCAAGGAGCTGAAATCATGACATTCTGTGCTCTTTTTTCAGAGAGTTTAGAGTTAAGAAACATTGTTTAGAATATTGCAAGAGTGTGGGAAGGGTTTAAAAAAACTATATATATCTATATAAATACTAAAATAAAGTACTACTTGCACTATTATTCCTACTTCATGGTTTTTCACTTATCACAGGTCTTCAGGGTACAGATCTATGGACATAAATACAAACCGGATTCCAAAAAAGTTGGGACACTAAACAAATTGTGAATAAAAACTGAATGCAATGATGTGGAGATGGCAAATGTCAATATTTTATTCGTAATATAACATAGATGACAGATCAAAAGTTTAATCAGAGTAAATGTAACATTTTAAAGGAAAAATATGTTGATTCAAAATTTCACAGTGTCAACAAATCCCAAAAAAGTTGGGACAAGTAGCTATAAGTGGCTGGAAAAAGGAAAGTGAGCATATAACGAACAGCTGGAAGACCAATTAACACTAATTAGGTCAATTGACAACATGATTGGGTATAAAAAGAGCTTCTCAGAGTGTCAGTGTCTCTCAGAAGCCAAGATGGTAAGAGGATCACCAATTCCACCATTGTTGCGCAGAAAGATAGTGCAGCAATACGAGAATGGTGTTACCCAGCGTAAAATAGCAAAGACTTTTAAGTTATCATCATCAACCGTGCATAACATCATCAAAAGATTCAGAGAACCTGGAACAATCGCTGTGCATAAGGGTCAAGGCCGTAAAACTCTACTGGATGCTCGTGATCTCCGGGCCCTTAAACGTCACTGCACCTCAAACAGGAATGCCACTGTCAAGGAAATAACAGAGTGGGCTCAGGAATACTTCCAGAAAGCATTGTCAGTGAACACAATCCACCGTGCCATCCGCCGTTGCCAGCTGAAACTCTGCAGTGCAAAGAGGAAGCCATTTCTAAGCAAGCTCAGACGTTTGCACTGGGCCAGGGGTCATTTAAAATGGAGTGTGGCAAAATGTAAGACTGTTCTGTGGTCAGATGAGTCACGATTTGAAGTTCTTTATGGAACACTGGGACGCCATGTCATCCGGACCAGAGAGGACAAGGATAGCCCAAGTTGTTATCAACGCTCCGTTCAGAAGCCTGCATCACTTATGGTATGGGGTTGCATGAGCGCTTGTGGCATGGGCAGCTTGCATGTCTGGAAAGGCACCATTAATGCAGAGAACTATGTTCAGGTTCTAGAACAACATATGCTCCCATCTAGACGTCATCTCTTTCAGGGAAGACCCTGCATTTTTCAACACGATAATGCCAGACCACATTCTGCAGCAATCACAACATCATGGCTACGTAGGAGAAGGATCCGGGTACTGAAATGGCCAGCCTGCAGTCCAGATCTTTCACCTATAGAGAACATTTGGCGCATCATAAAGAGGAAGGTACAACAAAGAAGGCCCAAGACGATTGAACAGTTGGAGGCCTGTATTAGACATGAATGGGAGAGAATTCCTATTTCTAAACTTGAGAAACTGGTCTCCTCTGTCCCCAGACGTCTGTTGAGTGTTGTAAGAAGAGGGGGGATGCCACACAGTGGTAAAAATGGACTTGTCCCAACTTTTTTGGGATTTGTTGACGCCATGAAATTTGGAAAAACAGATTTTTCCCTTAAAATGATATATTCTCTCAGTTTAAACTTTAGATTAAATTCAATTCAATTCAAAAATACTTTATTAATCCCAGAGGGAAATTAAATGTTGTAGCTCATTTTCCTTGTTTCATAAAAGAGTTGTTCTAGATGTTGATGGTTGTGAGTGGGAAGGATCTCTTGTGATGGTCCATCTTATAGCAGATCTGAAAAAACTGGCCACAGATGTTGATCCGTTTACTTGCACTTGGTTGGCCTCCTGGGCTTCAGGATCACCTGAATGTTGGGCAGAAATCCTCCCAGGGCAATGGCCACTCCTCCCAGCAGCTTGTTGAGCTCCTCATCGCTGCGGACAGCCAACTGTAGGTGCTGATGGACGATCCCGTCCTTCCGCTGTCATGAGCCGTGTTTCCTGCTAGTTCCAGGATCTCAGTGGTCATGCACTCGAGCACAGCTGGCAGGTAGATGAAAATGCGTCCACAGAGCATCCTTTTCAACTCATTTGAAATTTAGGGCCGTAGTTGAGATATTACTTGAGCTTTTGAGATATTAATCAGCTGCTGTTGGTTGTAGAAACTGCCTTGTTGCCATGGTTATGCATCATAACAAATGTCCAAAGCTAAAAAAGTTTCTGTAAAAATCTTTCCAGCTGCACAGCATCCGATACCAGAGGAAACAATCATCCAAAAAAATGTGATTTACATCCAGAAAAAGAGGAATTAAAGTTTCCAAAAGCAAAATCTCAGAATGAAAGTAACAGAGCTGCTCCAACATGCAGCCACCTTGAGCGGCGCAATTCTAGAACCTATAGATCTGTGATTTGTGTTCTATTCTGAATAAAATATTAGATGTTGGCACCTCCACATCATTGCATTCAGTTTTTATTCACAATTTGTTTAGTGTCCCAACTTTTTTGGAATCCGGTTTGTTTTACATATGTACATGCATACATATATACATACATATGTACATATATACATATATATATGCGGTTGTGGCGGCAGTAGCAGTATTGCAATGTTCTAAACAATGTTTCTAAACTCTAAAGAGCACAGAATGTCATGATTTCAGCTCCCTGCCTCCTGCTGCACTTTGCCTTTGCAAGCACTTTCGGACACGCCCACTTCTCTGGTGCAGAGTGGAGATATGACACACTGCAGAAGGAAGCTTCTACTGCAGCTGTGCTAAATATTTGAAAATATTTTAAATAAAATTCCATGCCGATTGTGCTGCTCATCCATCAATCAGCCAATTGTATGTCATGTCCAATCTTATTTTGAAAAACCGTGATAGAGCAAGTCCATGAAAGTCAAACCGCGAAGGAGCGAGGGATTACTGTAATTTAAAACATTAATGCTGGAATTTGTTTTTCTGCAGGTGGTTCCCGTTGCAAGCTCATTACAATCCCAGCTAACACGTTTCGAGTTCTGCCCTGTAAGCTGCGGTCCAACTTGGCTCAGAGGAAGTGGCGCTACAGTGACAGCTCCAGCCAGTTCCTGTACGCCACCCCAGAGGGAAACCTGGTCGTGGTGGCTCAGTCCGATCGAATGGAGACGTACGAGTGCTGGTCACAAGAGGAGGGCTTCAGCCAGCTGTTGGCTAACTACTGCGTGAGAGCAGAGCCCCGCCAAGAAAGCACTACTCTGATTGGACACTCGCGTACGCCCCACTTTCCTCGGGAAGAGACCATCATCCTGCCGGGCGAGTCTCGTTCTGAGCAGGTCCACACAAAGACGTACTGGAACGAGCTGATTGTGGTGTGCGCCTTGTTGGCGTTCTCCCTCGTGGTGTTCTCTTTGTTCGTCATCTACAGGAACCGGGATCACATGAAGTCCATGCTGAAGCAGGGCGAGTGCCCCAACATGCAGCAGAAAAAAACGAGGATAGTCGGGAAGCCCACGGAGAGCTTACCCCTCAATGGCAACACTATCCCCGTTTCCACTTCAGACCACAAGGGCTACCAGACGTTAAATGACAACTACATCTGCAGCACGCCCACAAACGAGTCGTCCCCAGACAACAGCAAGAGCTTCTCAGAGTCCTCAGAGAGGCGGCCGCTCAACCTGAAGGAGAGCCACGTGGAGTACTCCCCGACGTGCCCTCGGCCCAGAGTGAGGTTAGGCTCGGAGATCAAGGACTCTATCATATGAGAGCACAAATCTCCCAAAACATCTCATTTCTACGAGCAGTACAGGCCACCAAGCAAAAGGAGAGGAAATCTTGACGTCCTCCTATGTCACAGCACATCTTTTATTTCAGCCATCTTAGCTCTGTGATCACTGCAGAGGTCATTTTATTCAAGCGTTTCCACTCCGAAGCCAGAAGTTGGTCTGGTTTGTTGCTGTAGCAGGGGTCGAGGGCAGCACAACACTTCAGCTTCAACCACAAAACCATGGCAGCTGCTAATATGATTACATCAATCTATTTTTGAATACTTCTCATGGCCACTCACATCTTGTGTATGTGTGTGTGAGCAAAGGGCTGGGTAATACAAGGGATATGGTTAATAAAACCATGTGCAGAATACGTTATTCTGCTATGGCAGTGTCTCTTTAGGTATGCATCATGAAATGTTCCAGTCTGGATGACTGTCCATTCAAAAGCATTGATGGTTACCCAACTCTGTGTAATCTTTCACAATTTCTGCAGAAGGTGGCTTCCACACTTCTGGTATTATGCACACAAGCTCCAGCTACATGGTACCCAAGAGTTCAGCCCTTGGTGAAATCCATACATGTAATGCATTTTCATTATGATTCAGCACATCCGTTCCCATTTGCTGAGTAAATGTATGAGGATAAGTGTGTTGAAATGAGAGGAAAACTGAGAGGTTTGTGCTTCATGAGAGCCTGCTGTTGGAAGACTTAGTGAGGTGACAAAAATAACAAAAAACCTGATGGACGCTTGTCCTCTGAGGCCTAAACACTGTCATTTACCTCCTGAATGTATGTTTGTCATGAGGAAAATGGTGTATTTCACCTAAAAGCTGACATTTCAAAAGGAAACCTCTGGATTTCAACTCATCTGGGACAGCGTTGTTCAGCAGTATGAACCTGAAGCTGCCACTATGGGTTCATAAACGAGAGCCAGATGACCAATGGTTTGGAAGAAGAGTGTGAAAAAGAGAACTTGATGTTGCAAGAACAAAAAAAAAAAAAACATTGTCACCTTTTAATACCTTCAGGGCAGCACTGAAATCACCATACGTTCTGTGCCAAAAACAACAACAAAAATACTTGATTGTCTTATCCAAATGCAATAGTGTCATTCTGTCATGACGATTTCATCGTCTAGGAGCACTTGGTCATGGATCCGGGGTCGGGTTTCCACTAAATGTTTTCTGGCACTAATGATAAATAAATGAAGGTCAAAGTTGGGAATTTCTATAAGACTGTTAGCTCATCTCAATATTTATAGAATGTGTTGGACAAAACGTAAAATTTGATTGACGCCAAAGGATTAGAGATTTGCCATGTGGTCGTCTAGATTTCAATTTCCTTCTGCCTTCTTGTACAAACATTTGAAGAAAAAAAAAGTCACAAAACGATGAATAACTAAGGTTTCTAGTGGGACTTGGATCAAATTTATTGGCCCCTATAGTTAAACTGTATACACAATGCAACGAGGTAGACGCACAGACGTTTATACAGCCTTTACTTCCCCCCCAGTCAGCCAGGTTACACGTCTGATCTTTACGGCTTTCACCACCTATTCAGAAGCCGAGGTGATGTTGGAGTGAAAGCACACATATTCAGGGTTAAAGGTTTGCACATTTCATTTCAGTAAAATTGGATTATTTTTTAGCAAATGCGACTACTGAGACCAGAAGTGGAGCTGCTAAGAATAGCTATTTTTTAAAGTATCTGTTGTTCCAGGGACCAGTGCAGCCATCCCCAGCTCTCTATAAAAACAGACGTTTCCAAAGAAGCAGAATGCTGGTAACACGTCTGTTCCAGCGAGGCGAAACATGTCTTAGGTTGTGTCACCACTTCACTGTATTGATCAAGTAAGCCTTCAGTATGTATTCCAGTATCCTACAACATGAATATTTTGCTATTTTGAAAACAGGTCAGAATGGCGATGTAATTGCCGAGATGACAAAGTAACTGCACGGCATGCTGTGCAGCAGAGGTCAGTGTTTCCTTTTCTTCCACGTTTTTGAATGTGTAAATAAAATACCTGTGCTTAATATTGTGTGTTGTTAAAGGGACGTTGTGCAAGATGTGTTGTAGAGATAGTCTTAAAACTAAAGAGTGGACACTGCTGAGTAGTTTTTGTTTTTCATAGCTTTACTGCCGACTCCAGCTTACATTTCACCACACCGTCGGTTCAGCACCGTCTGGTTTTTTATCAAGCACATCAGGACGAGAGAAGTGTTGGTCTTTTATGCTCAAGTTGATAAAAGTAGTGGGGTTGGTTAAATTTTTTTAAAGTCTGAAATGACCTCTAAGTGAACAGGGAAATACTGGAATTAACTCATGTTTGTGCGCTAATTGTAGCGGCCACAAAGTGGATGACCTGCAAAAAGAGGGTTCCTCTAGTGTGGCACCTCTGAAAAGCTAAAGTTCTCATGTTTTACTTTTTGTAGCAGAGCTATGCATGTGAATTTATAAAGAAGTTTATTAAGAAGCATATGCCAGCTGAAAAACCCATTAGTAAAATTATCAAAAAGGTACAGCAAGTTTAGCGGGAAACGAGTGCTAACACTACATTTAACGCCACTTCAGTATGTTCAGAATCTGAATGACTTTATTGACATAATGAGATTAAGAGATGTTGAGAGGTTTTTAGTTTTTAATTTTTTTTGTCTGTTTTGTTAAATGGGACTAAAAACATGTAATAGAGGATGTGAATTCTTATAGTGCTTTTTTGTTTTAATCCTTTTAAAATGGTAAATTAGCACTGCAGCATAATAGCTAACGCTAACATCTGCCTAGCTTGACTAGACGGGTTTAAATCCAAGCAAGACAGAAACTAGTTTGTTTTTTGTTTTATTTTAATTTAGGCAGAAACTTTTTTATTATTATTATTATTATTATTAAATTATCTAAACTCAAATCCTTTTTTTGCAAATTGAATTGGCAACGGTTCCTGACAGCTCTTTGTTGTAAAAATGTGCAGCAAATTAATTCTTAAAATTGTAACATTTAGATATTTTGCCCTTTTAAAAATATATATATATAAATAATAAAAATATAAATTGATTTAGTGGGCCTGATGAGTGTAAAATAGCTGCTTCCCTTCATTTTCTTTGGTTACGTTAAGTAATTAAGCTAAATGTAGCGCACAAACATGAGCATCAATTTCTGTCATTCTGTTTTTGTCAAGAAACCAAATATGTATATTTTGCAACTCGTCTATTGAAAGCTGAAGACTAATAATTCTAATCTGTGTTGAAGTGCTTGATGGAAAACACCACTACAAAATAAAAGCCTCTACAGTCCATAGTTGCTCTGCCTCGAGCCACGAGCAACACCACAGCACCCAAACAGTGACCTCATCAACAGAAATGTGGTAAACGACATGATTGTAGCCCTCATCGGGCACACTTAACTCCACACCTTGGGTCATACATATTTACAGTATTTTTTTTTTATTCACCACTAACTTTGCCTGCAAACAGAACTGGGAGTTGCTCAAAATCTTGATCCATTCTCCAGATTATGTAATAAAAATAAGAATTGAGTCACCGTCTTGGGCTGACAGTTTTTATTTTTACACTCAAATGTGGTGCAAGTTTTTCATTTGACCTCACTGGTTAATCATCTTATAAGATGAACTGTGTGTTTATGAACTGCTTTTCCAAGGAGAAGCAAACAGCTGCATTACAGTAACTGGTGGTTTTGAGCTGCTCCTCAGTGATGAACATACTATACCGGACATGAATGTAGACGAGTACAGTGATGCTTAAAAGTGTGTGAAGCCGTTATAATTTTCTATATTTCTGCAGAAATATGACCTAAAACATCAGATTTTCACATAAGTCTTAAAAGTAGATGAAGAGAAACTAGTTAAATGAGACAAAAATATTATACTTGGTCATTTATTTTTTGAGGGAAATGATCCAACATATTTGTGAGTGGCAAAAGTATGTGAACCTTTGCTTTCAGTATCTGGTGTGACCCCCTGTGCAGCAATAACTGCAACTAAACGTTTCCAGTAACTGTTGATCAGTCCTGCACTCTGACTTGGAGGAATTTTAGCCCATTCCTCTACAGAACAGCTTCACCTCTGGACGTTGGTGGTTTCCTCACAGTAACTGCTGCTTCAAATCCTTCCACGATGTTTTGATTAGATTAAGGTCAGGACTTTGACTTGGCTATTCCAAAACATGAACTTTATTCTTCTTGAACCATTCTTTGGTAGAAACACTTGTGTGCTTAGAGTCATTGTCTCGCTCCATGATCCACCTTCTCTTGTTCATGGACAGATGTTCTGACATTTTCCTTTAGAATTCTCTGATATAATTCAGATTCATTGTTCCATCAATGATGGCAAGACGCCCTGGCCCTGATGCAGCAAAACAAGCCCAAACCATGATACGACCACCACCATGTTTCACAGATGGGATATGGTTCTTATGTAGGAATGCAGAGTTTTCTCTTCTCCAAACATAACGCTTTTCATTTAAACCAAAAAATATATATTTTGGTCTCATCTGTTCACAAAACATTCTTCCAATAACCTTCTGGCTTGTCCATGTGATCTTTAGCAAACTGCAGACGAGCAGCAATGTTCTTTTAGGAGAGCAGTGCAACCCTACCATGCACACCATTGTTGTTCAGTGTTCTCCTGATGGTGGACTCATGAACATTAACAAATATCAGAGAGACCTTCAGTTGCTGAGAAGTTACCCTGGAGTCCTGTGACCTCACTGACTATTCCACTCCTTGCTCGTGGAGTGATCTTTGCTGGTCAACCACTCCTGGGGAGGGTAACAATGGTCTTGAATTTTCTCAATTTGTAGACTGTAGATTGATGGAGTCCAGACTCTTTACAGATGGCTTTATAACCTTTTCCAGTTTGATGAGCATCAACAACTCTTTTTCTGAGGTCCTCAGAAATCTCCTTTGTTCAGGCCATGATCCACTTCTACAAACATGTTGTGAAGAACAGACTTTGATAGATCCTGTTCTTTTAATCAAACAGGGTGCTCACTCACACCTGATCATCCCATTGATTAAATTTCACCTTCAAATTAACTGATAATCCTAGAGGTTCACATACTTACCACTCACAAATATGTCATATTGGATCATTTTCCTCAATAAATAAATGAGCAGATATAATATCAATCCATTATCTTTTAGCCGCTTCTTCCTTTTTGAGTCGCGGGGGTCGCTGGTGCCAATGTCCAGCGATCACTGTGCGAGGGGTGGGCTACACCCAGGACAGGTCTCCAGTCCATCTTAAGGCCACATGGAGACAAATGAGACAAACAACCATTCTCTCTCTCTCTCACACCTAGAGACAATTGGAGTTACCAATCAGTCTAACATGCATGTTTTTGGTCTGTGGGAGGAAACCCACGCATGCACGGAGAGAACATGCAAACTCCACCCAGAAAGGTCCCAGCGACCTCCTCACTGGGAGGTGGCTGCTCTACCAACTGCACCACTGTGCCGCTGGAAATATATTTTTGTCTCTTTTGTTTAACTGGGTTCTCTTTATCTACTTTTAGGACTTGTGTGAAAATCTGATGTTTTAGGTAATTTATGCAGAAATACAAGACATTCTAAAGGCTTCACTAACTTCTAAGCACCACTGTTAGAACATCAATGACCATTTGTTTTCCTACAGACAGCTTCAGTAGGGATCCATTTTCACATTTATTCATCAAAAATGTTCATAACTACAAAAATGCAGCACAATAGCAGTAATGAATCGTTTGTGCTGCATGATGTAGTAGTGTGGGAAGATGCAAGCACAGCTCCACACATTTACCATGAGACACCATGACAGCATTGCCTCTGCAAATCGAATACCATCAGCTTAGACGACTGATTAACTAGACAAATGTGGTCTTGCCTGCATGATTTTTTTTTATTATCGTTGTGTACAAATAACATTGTGAACTGTATTTTTTGTATCATTGAGATTGTGACTGTTGTTTTTATTGTACATAAAAAGCACTTTATTTTAATTTTTTAAAGATAAAAGAATAAAATACATGTTTTGACAGGTCTTTTTGAGATTTCTTTTATTGCATATTTTACGGTCCCTTTAATTGGACAGTTTACAGTGATAATAAATAATTATTTTTACGTTACCAGATAATAAAAAATATATATTTAAAAATATCAGTGTACTTTAGCTTTTTTTTTTTTGTTTGTTTGTTTAAACCAAGTGGTCAGTTTATTTATCTTGCTCAAAAACTAGAATTTTAGATTTCAAGCGTAAAGTATTTAAAGTTATTTGTGTTTTCATTTTGTTTGCTAAAAATAGATTTATATCTGATTTAACATTTCAAAGTAGCTGTCACACAAATGGGTTATGAAGGATGTAGTCTGAGGGTGAGTTTTGGCCGTTTTCATCTTGTGGGGGTTTAATGCAGCTGGATATAAGTGAAGGGAACTTGAATCTTGTTTTCTGACTGGAGATCCAGAAGAACAGAGTGACAAGCAAATCTATATTGTAAATTAAAAGAGAATCAATTTGCCCAATACGAGTCAAACTGACTCGGAAACATTCAGCTGCAGTTGCAAAGAGAATCAGATGCACTGCACTGAAACATTCATATATAAAAAAGTAAGTTAACATTATTAATCTGAGGAGCAGACTGCTTTGAATTTAACTCCATCTCAGAAGGCAACGGTAGAAAGGAAAAACTCCCTCATGAGGAATTCAAAAATGTTCAAGACAAAAACAACTGGACTTTATTTGTAACGGAAGACATTTCGCTTCTCATCTGAGAAGCTTTCTCAATTCAAAGAGCAGTGAGTGTGGGGTTCAGGTTATAAAGCTGAGATGAGATACGTACATGCGTATGCAGATTGGCCTATCACACCTTACAGTGGGGGTTTGTTAAAGTCTTTGTCAATCTAATTCACAGGTGGGCCTCTCTGGTCACATCTGGTAGGTGTGACACTGGCTGGGTATCAGTCCTAGAGCTGTGTTAAAAGTTTTCCCTCATGAGGAAGAAACCTCCAGCAGAACCAGGCTCAGGAAAGTGGTCATCTGCTTCGACCAGCTGAGTTTGAGAGAATCAGGAAGGAGGAACAGATACACAATGGCAGGTCAAGAATCACATGTTATAGAAATGGTATCAAATGAAAACTATTCAATTTTAACAATTTATTTAAGGAAATTAGGTCAATTTGGCCTCCAGTAGTCTAAGCCTATGGCAGAATAACAAGCCAACCCTAACTATAGGATTCATCAAAAAGGAAAGTCTTGAGCCCAGTCTTAAAACTGGACAATGTGTCAGCCTCATGGACAGAAACTGGAAGTTGGTTCCACAAGAGAGGAGCCTGAGAACTGAAAGATCTTCCTCCCATTCTGCTTTTGGAAACTGTAGGAACTGCAAGAAAGCCTGTAGTCGCTGAGAGCGAAGTGCTCTGTTAGGAAAATATGGAACAATATCTGTAATATGGTTGTTGGGAGCTTTGTATATTAGAAGTAAGATTTTGAATTCAATTCTGAGACAATGGAGAGAACCAACAAAGTCCATGCTCAATAATCCAGGTATACAATCCAACAATTTTCAGATGGAGAAACTACAACTGGAGAGATATGATCTCTCCTACTAACTCCAGTTAAGACTCCATTGATACCTTTTGATTCAAGGATTTTTTATGGTCATCCCAGTTCACATTTGCATTTTTATGGTACGAAATTCAAACTCAGGTCCCAGATCAATAAGCCTAACAATAAATAAATACAAAAGTGTATAAATATATATGCATACGTGTGTGCATAAAGTTTAAAAATGTAAGATGAGGCTAAATGAAGTGCAGCTCGAGTTGAGCAGCTCTGAATGCTCCTCAGCCGCCTGCTTGAGGGGAGGGGCTGTAAAAGACTGTGCAGGATGAGTGGAGTCCTTCATGATGCGGAGTACCTTCCTCCTGCATCGTGATGTGTAGAGGTCCGAGGTGGTAGGAAAGCTGCTCCCCAGTCTTCTGTGCAGCCTCCCTCCCTCTGCAGAGCCATCCACTCAGCAGCAGTGCAGCTGCCGTGCCACAAGGTGATGCAGGTGCAGAGAACGCTCTCCACCACACAGCGATAGAAGCTCCTAGATACCTGGACTTTTCTGAATTTCTACACAACACACCAAGGTAATTGCCTGTCCTTGGTCTCTGTGCTCTTCAGAACTGGAAATAACACAAAGTGGATCAATACGTGCATCCACGGTGCTTTTCTATGTTTACAAACTCAGAGGGGACCAGATCAGAAAAAAAAACATTTAAAAGATTTTTATGGATCATCATATTTTTGCAGACATTGATGCTTTTGTAGAACTTATGTTTTCTGTGATCTTAAAGGTTCTCCCTGTAGGAACATAACTGTTTGACTGCAGCCATTTGCCCCTCATGGCTTCCTGATCACAGCTTCTTGCCTTCTGTTTAAAAAGTCGAGTTTACCTCTCAGCCTGATTTCGGCCATATGCTTGAAGTGAACCTTTAACCCTGCTAAACTGTGCTGTGAGCAGAGTGGACAGTTTTATTATTAACCCTTTATTTAACCAGGCAAATCCCATTGATATCACAACTCTTTTGCAAAGGAGGCCTGAACCTGAAGGCAGCCTAACATGCAGGTTTTTGGACTATGGGAGGAAACCGGAGTCCCTGGAGAAAACCCACACAAGCGCAACAAGAACATGCAAATTCCACACAAAGACCCCGGGTCCAACCGAGGATTGAATCTTCTTGCTGTGAGGTAACCGTGCTAACCACTGAGCCATTGTGCAGCCATGTTTGATAATGTTTGCATTGTTTTACATTTAAACAAGTGACCAATTCTGTATTTTGGCCCTCATCATCACTCCGGTACACAGCTACTCATGTTAATACATTTATTTTGTTAAGGGAGATTAATTTATCACTAAAGGCACATTAATCGGACAAAAAGGACCCAAACTTACAATAAGAACATGCATCTCATTAACTTGGATCCATTTGGTGGCTATGACCTCTGTAAAATGCCATTAATGTCTTATGTTGTGCTTTAACGCTTTGAACAGATTTACAGAAAGGACGTGGGTCGTTTCATGAATAAACTGGACTTTGTCTCCACCTCGTGGTCATTTTGACAGAACCACGAACTGACTTTCATGAAGTCACTTTAAATTCATGTTTTTAAATTGTGGCAGAAACCCCCCCGACCTTCACAGGGGACATGCAAACGTACCCAACATGAAAGATTAAATATCTAAACATCAAGCTGTTAGAGGACAAACCCAGGGCATTTACATCAGCCACTCCCAGGTTTTGTTTACCATCTAAACAGTTTTGAGACCTACTGGACATCAAGAAGATCATGTAAGGACGAACGGTGATTAAACCCCTAAATGTCGGGACTAAAACACACTGGATGTTTAGCAGAATAATGATTTTAAAGTACTGAATTTCTTGTGCCCCTAAACTTCCTAATGTTTCACACATCAGATTGCTTTAGCCATATATTCTATAACCAATCTTTTTTTTTTATAAAATAAAAATACAGCTTTGTTTCCAAGCCAACTGTGTCTAAATGTGCATTAAACATGCTCCAACAAGAGAAAATTATTGTTCAAGGTACACACACAGTTTTAATAACTAAGAACTCAGCTGAAAATGCTGCACAAACTCCAGCCACAAACCTTCAGAATAACTGACGGCATGAACTAAAAAGATACAGTTTTATTTGAAACCAGCAAAGGGACACTTTTGTACAAAAATACACAAATGTTACATGTTTTGCATCGTGATTTTTAACTTCATCCGGCCTACACCACTGATGCTTCTTGATGCATGCAGCATCAACGTGGGTACTTGGACATAATTTAACCATGAAAATCAACAGATCCAAAATCAAAAAAACTATGCCGTTTGCCACAGGGAAGAAAGTTGGCTCCCAGATTCTTGAGTCTAGACAAAAATGACAGATCCATTCTTATAAACACCAGGAAGAATGCTGAACACGGGAGTTCTCGGAACAGCAAAGAAAATTCATCTTGGACTTTGTTTACTTGGACTTAGTGCTGCTTTTTTCTCCTCCATTTTCTCCTCCATCTGATTTTTTCTGCTTCTGTTGCATTATTTCAGCATCCCTTGGGAAGGAAAAAGAGACACTTGACGTTAGAAAATAAGTCAATAAGGGAAACTGAAAAGTTGAACATTCAAATAAATTCGGGATGCACGATATCGGCATGGTATCAGTCGATATTAGTGTTAACGTTAAATATCGCTCATTCCGTCAAAATAACTCACCGATATAAAATACACTGCTTTTGTACGACAACCCAGTGACAAGGAGGCCTGCAGCGGCAGCACAGCGTGATGTCACGCCTGCCTACATGATCTGATCACGACGGAGAAGAAGTCAAAATGTCGGCGGTGTGGAAGTTTTTTTGTTGAGGATATTGGATTCTGAAGTTTTTTGGACTATGTTGTGCCTCGCTACATCGTCCCCAGTCAGAGATATTTTTCCGATGTAGCCTTACCCAAGTTGCAGTCATGTGACGTCATTGAGAAGCTAATAGCTAATAGCACGACTTGGGTGAGTTTTGCCACAGACATTTGGGCGTCAAGTGTTAGCCCCGTTAGCATAATTAGTCTTGCAGCACAATGGCTAGACAAAAACTTTGAACTTAAAAAGGCTGTCCTTCATGCACAAGAGTGCAGAGGATCCCACAGCTATAGGAACCTGGAACAAGCCTCCACAAGTGAGACAGCATCGCAGGTGACTAATGCTAATAAATAACATTTAGCACTTTTCATTTAATAGAAGTTAAAGTTCTATGCGTTACTGAATATATGCCACCAGCTCTTACAGCTGTTACACAATTTTTGTAACAAATAAGCCTAAATAAGAGGGCTATGTTCTGACAAAGGAAAGTATATAAAAAATATTGGTATCTGTTATAGCCCAAATAAGTTTTACCATATTGGATATCAGCCAAAAATCCAATATCGTGCACCGAAAACTCACATTTTAAAAGTCATCTGCAGCCTGGAATGAAATGAACTTGTGCACAAGTGTTTCTTTATAGTAGTGCACAGTATGTACATAGAAAACACTCCAAACATACCTCTGTTTCCGTGCAGCAGCAGAAAGACCATCTTCATTACGCTTCCCTTTTCCATGCTCGTTCTGCTTTTTGGCATGCTTCTGGCGTGCAAGCTCACGTTGGTTTCCTCCTGTATGCCGAAGAAAAAAACACAATTAGCATGTGTACACAGACAGCAAGATGCCCTCCAGATGGGTGCACTGTATCCTTCAAAACACCCAGAGAACAGGACGGAAAAGCAGCCGACGTGGCACAGGGGCGCTGCAGAGACGCAGACTTCCAGCATTTAGTCGCACCCAGCTGGGTTGCGGAAGACGAGGAAGCGAAGATAAAGCTACATAAGAAAAATCATTTTGAAATACTTTTATAAACTTACTAGTTGTTGGCAGTTCTGAAACTCGACTCAGACCAAGAACTTGAGTTCTAGCCGCAGGCCAGGGCCTGAACTAACAACCGGACAACGACAGAAACAAACACGTCCTTTTGACCCATGGACACTGACCGACTGACACGTCTTATGTAACTCGGGTCTAGCACACACACATGATGTGGATTACAGATAGTAATAAACGGTGAAAGTGTGAAATAATTCGAAAGAAAACAACACTGGAGGGAAAAGTGTGGCATAACGTCGCGGTTGTCGAGATGGGTTCTGTCTATTTGCTGAAACACATTAATCGTGCAACGACAACAAACAAGCAGATGGAGCGGTGAACACATTAACGTTTTATTAACATAAATACTATATATGTCAATACCCACTGGTCATTTTAAAATAGACGCTTCTTTCGCCCAAAATCCAGATAAGCTCAGCCAAAGGGCCGCCGGCTCTCTCCTCGTCTCCAGACGCTGTAGCTCCTGGTTGCGCCTCACTGTGGCTGCTGCCAAAAACTAGACGTCCGCGCTAGAACCAGAAGAAAACATACTCACTGCGCATGCGCGTGGCCAACACACGCCTTTTTCAACAAGTTCGGGTGCGCGAGCATAATGATATCTATGTGCGCGAGGCTATACATGTTCACTGCGCATGCGCAGGAAAAGGCATTGCCAGCCACACCGTTTTCAATACTAATCAATTTAATTCAGTTTTTTTTTTTATTTAGCGTCAAGTCACAACAGAAGTCATTTCAGGGCACTGAACAGAAACATTCATATATATAAAAAAAATATCTGAGGAGCAGACTGCTTTGAGTTTAACTTCATGGCAGACGCGCATCTTGAGCAAGCACAGAATAAGCACAGAAATGCTATTAATGGACTGAACTCGTAAGGTGTAATTCTGATCTATATAGTACAGGTCTGAGAAAAAGCCTCAAGTCATCCTTCATTTTAAAATATATTTATTTTACGCACAAAGAGTTTGTATGTCATTGTTTTGTTTTGTTTTACAGATAATGAAAATGGATAAGAAAAAAAAAGTGGCCAAAGTAAAAATTAATTTCTCTGAAGATGTTCAGGAAACTAGAGGAGCATGTTTTTGTTGTCGCTGTTGTTGAATACTGCCACTGACTGTAAGGTGACACCAGTCACACAGGAAGTTTCAGGTCATATTTGTAAGTGAAACAGGTTCTCAAACATTTCACCAGGCTAAACAATGGTAAAAAAAAAAATAAAGTTAAAAAAGGCTGTAAATCCATATTTTGCTTTTTGTCCACGCACTGTCCTTAAAACTATGACAGGAGATAAACTTAAGTTTAAGGGCCAGCAGGTGGCAGACTCTGCTTTAAAATCCTGGGACTAAACATTCTCCTTCTAGACAGATAATCCTCTAAATAATTGAACTATTAAAACAAAATCTTATTATCTTAACAGGAAGACCACAACATGTTTCTCACTGTTCTATGAATTGTGATTTCATTTCAATGACTCTTTATTTGCTAAATAAAACAGATGATTAAGTTGTGTCTACTTGAAACTGAAAATTTACTCAGACAATGAAATTATAAACAGAGACAACTCGTCTGTGTCCCCTATATATATAT